TATAACTTTACTTATTCAAATAACAATTAAGGTAAAGCAGAGTTAAGAACAATGAATCCCTTTATAATAAACAGATTCATTTTGCAAGTTTGTTATTATGGGTAGTTCCTATAAAGGATTAGATTAATGACATATACAATACTTGAATTCTCGATGTATATGCTACATAGTTGGTTCTCATCCTTCAGAGACTACGAGTGTAATAGGAGCATCCATCGATAAAAGGATCACCCTAAGATGATCATCTCGTGGCTATTGAGAACGAATCAAATCAGATGGTTCTATTTATCAATCTTTTTGACCTCAGTTCCATAGGAGCAAGTCATAAAGATTGAGAAAAATCGGTCATTCACAACCACTGATGAAGGATTCCTCGAAAAGTTAAAGATTAGTAATCCTTTTTAAAATAAAAAATTGAATGGATTTGGTCTTATACATACGTGAGGAAGGTAATCAAAAAAGAAAGAAGAACTCATCTTCTTTCTTTTATCACTTAGGAGCCGTATGAGATGAAAATCTCATGCATGATTTTGAATGAGAGAAAAAAGTAAGGAATCCTCTTTGTAACTCTGAATCTCCCACTCTAGTCTTTACTTTTCTTTATGTTACTTTGGAAGTAGCTACTTCAGCTTCAGCCACTCAAATTTTCAATATTCCTTTTTATTTCTTATCAAACGAATGGCATCTTCTTCTGAAAATCCTAGCTATTCTTAGCATGATATTTGTCAATTATTTAGGCACAATAGTTAAAAAAATTATATATTACATAGCATGTGTTCTGAAATAAAAAAATCTTAATTTAGTCTCATCATAAAAATCAATGTTTTCAGGATCGGGCCGAATATTGAATCGAAAAGGCCAGTAATTCACGGTTCACATGATCTAACCAGGTTGGACCAATGGTCTAATCGATAGTGTAATAATTAAATGAAAATAATATTAAATGTATATATAAAATAAATACAAAAAAAAATCTATAGTATGTTAATAAGATAACATAACATTACTGTAAATTAATAATATTATAAAGTATAATTTTATAACTTGTCAAATATAGGTGGATCTTGATTAAATTAAATATGAGTAGACTCAAAAGTATATTTTCATCTTTATAAAAAAATAGTCTCAAATCATATTTTACACATGTGAATTGTTCAAAAAGCTGCGAGGAGCCAACCCTAGTACGAGAGGACTGGGTTTAAAGTTGGCTTTTAGTACGTAGGATCTAATTTTTAAATTGTTCTTCTTTAAGCTTTTTTAATATTATATTTAAAATCATTTAATTTTTTAAAAATCGTTCCAGTCTCAATTCAACTCCAATTTTTGGCTCAATAGTAGCACAACTCCAGTTTAATTATGAAAATAGTTTTTTGATTCAAACCAAACCGTTAACGGCCTATAAGATGTCATTTTTTAAGAGGCTTATAAAAATTAATAATAATAAATACCACATAGTCCTTTGATAACTGAGCAAAGGAAATGACAATTGAATGTGTATGCATTGTGTGAGACTTATATATAATTCTTCCTATTATGATCATCTTCTAAGGCGCTTATGGAATTTGATGACATTATTACTTAATTAAAGCATTTTTTTCCCTCACTATTATTGATGAACCATCTTTTCTTGACAACTCATCATATCAGTAATAAGTATTTATGGATGGTTGAAAATTGAAACTGCTCCATTTTAGGACTTGTTTGATTTATGTTTTCAAAAGCTATGTTTTATTTTTTAAAAACAAAAAAATTAAAAAATCATTTGGATAAATGTTTTGGATTTAGTTATTTTTAAAACTGTTCTCACTTTCTGTTTTTAAAAACAAAAGAATGAAAGCACCTTAAAATTATTTTCATTTTATTTTTCTTATTTTTAAAACACCAAGTTCTATCATAAATCACTACCATTAACCACTGCAATCATCATTATCATCCAATTTTTAATTTTAAAACTGTTTTTACATTAACATAACCAAAAAGTTTTTTATTTTGTTTTGTTTTGAAAAATAATTTTAAAAATTGTACTACAAAAAATTTTTAAAAATAAAAAATGGAAATAAAAACCAAACAAGCTCTTAGTTACTCCATTATTTAAAAATAAAAAATGGAAATAAAAACCAAACAGACTCTTATTTACTCCATTATGTGTCCTTTTCTTTTTTCTTGTTTTGAAAAATGTTTATATTTTGTTTATCTTTACAAGTTTGAGACAATATTAATTACTATTTTAGTAAATTTTAAAGTCTAAAACAACATTAATTACTAAAATAAATTAAGACCATATATTATAAATATAAATAAATTATGAACATTATAATATTTCTATCCATCTTTCTATCATCAATCAATATATAAATTAAACATGTAACTACAAGTCATATCATTCACAAATCATCAATAATATATCACTATCTAGCTTGACGTCATCAAGTAATATCAAATTTTAGGTAATAGTAATACCTACTAAGCTACTACCCTTGGTACACATCAAGTTATGTGACGTAATTATTTAATAATATTATATATGTAAATTTTTGTCAAATGAGCTATATCTAGCGATTAATCTGCATCCTACCTAAACTCAAGTAGAATCATAACCTAGAAGCTCAATGGAATTGCATCATCTTCTCCTACTGGTAGCCTTCTCAAGCTGTTGTTTCTCAAACATTGACACTACTTCTGCTACCACCAATTCCATTCCTAAAGCTCAGAGAATAATCTTTAAGCTCAGCCACCACAAGTTTGTTCTTAATCAACTCAACAATCAGACTGTAAAAGCCTCTCTTGCACGTTTAGCCTACCTAGAGAGAAAGGCCAGAGGTGTTTCTCACTATTATTACACCAATGACTTGAGAGCAGGAATCAAAGCTGAGATACTTGGGGTACAGTTTATGGCCAATTTCTCCATTGGTGACCCACCAGTACCTCAGCTTCTAACCATGGACACAGGAAGCAACCTGTTTTGGATTCAGTGTCTTCCTTGCATTAAGTGCTTCCAACAAACAAGCCCACTATTTGATCCCTCCAAGTCATTCACATACACCAAAATATCCTGTAAATGTCCCTCTTGCTCAGTTTTTAGTGGAGACAAGTGTGATGCCAATGATAACTGCAAGTTCTCACACAGATACCTTGATGGGACTACTGTGGCAGGACTACTTGGTACTGAAGCCCTCACTTTTGGGACATCTGATGAAGGTGTGATCACTGTCTCTGAACTGGTTTTTGGCTGTGCTCATGACAATAATGCTTTTGGTGGTGAGCCTAGTGGCATTATAGGTCTTGGCCCTTCAAACATATCTCTGGTGACCCAACTGGGTTCTAAGTTTTCTTATTGCCTTGGCAGTATAATGGACCCAAAGTATACCCATAACGTGTTGATTCTAGGAGGAGGGGCTCATTTAGAGGGTGACTCAACACCAGTAGAAGTTTTCAACGATCTTTACCATCTAACCTTAGAGAGTATAAGTTTGGGAGAGACACAGCTAGAGATTGATCCCTATGTATTCAAAAGGACCACAGAAGGCAAGGGTGGGGTTGTCATTGATTCTGGGACAACTCTAACTTTTCTGATGCCAGAAGGGTATGAACCAGTTGCTTCTGAAGTGAAGAGATTGTTAGATGGCAAGCTTGAGCGTTCATATGATCCATATATTCCAAATCTGTGTTACAAAGGGGTTATTAATAGAGACCTTACAGGGTTTCCTGTTGTGACATTTCACTTTGCAGGAGGAGCTGAATTGGCTTTAGACGTAAATAGTCTCTTTCAAGGGAATGGTAAGGAGGAGTTTTGCCTAGCCTTGCAAGAGTCTCAAGAAATGAATATCATTGGGATAATGGCTCAGCAGAATTACAATGTAGGTTTTGACATTGCTGGAAAGAATGTTTTCTTCCAAAGGATAGATTGTCAGCTTCTTCATTGAGTTAATCATAATGCATCTTAGGTAAATTTAGGGTAAGTGAATTGCATCAAAAGAGAATGAAAGGTTTTAAAGTGTGTTGGAGGACATTGACCAGAGTACATAAGCCAGAGACTCGATCCAAATTTCATCAAAGGGGAGAAGGTAGATAGAAAAGGATAATTTCTCGCAGTTAAAATTTTGTTTCTTTGAACTTTCTTGTGTTCTAATTAGTAAAATAGAGTGGTGATACATTCTAGTATCTACTGCATATAGTATTTCAGCTTCTTGAATGAATTTCATACACTGTCAACAAAATAATTTCCAGGTAATCCATCTTTCAATTCTAGTTCATTACCTATGTAAATGTGAGAAACCTATTAATTACGTCAATCTACAGCAAGTGAGAGAGCCAACGGATAATCTACACCGCCTATTTGTCTGCTACTGCAACCTCATGTTTGCAGATTGTTTCTTTCTTCCATTGTGCTGTATAAAATATGAGACTGGTTTTGTATGGTCATGGACAATATTTTGGCAATGCATAAATTAATTACTAAAGTGCAGTTTCACATTTTCTGTATGTAGCTACTTCTGGGTCACAACAAAGTCACCGAACCTTAAGAAATTCCCGACATACTCTTTTAACTTCATCTAAAACAATTCTAAAGCTAACATTTCACTTAGCAGATTAGAATTTTAATACTAGCTAATTTCTACACCCATGAAAGAAAGAAAAGATTACTTGGTTTATCATACGATTTAAGTGACTAGTTTTACTAAAATCCAAAAACTATTACCAAATAGTTTCACCTTTCTAGCACATTTTCTTCTGGTCCAGATGCAGAATAAAAAGGATACAAATTATGGGAGGAGAAGAAAATCCTCCATTTCTAATTCATTCATAGGCTAAACTACAGCACCATTTGCTTATTATCCTTTCCTCCTCTCAAATTTTCAAGTGTTTGCAGCCTTTCAACAGGCATTTGTTTAAACCACACGTACAACTCCTTAAGCTATTCTGCACAGTAGGCATATTTGCAGCCTCACTAAAGTACAGATAGCAAATCCAGTAGCATAGAAGTTTGAAGACCAAAGTCGATGGCATTGGATTTGTTTTTAGCCTTCTCAATGTGCTGTTTATCCACGTTTGTTATGATTAATACAAACGCCAATCCCCAGGTTAGCTCACTATCTGTATCAACTGCTAAACCTCACAGATTTGTCTCTAAATTGATTCACCCTCACTCTGTTCACCATCCATTTTATGACCCGAATGAAACAAAAGAAGACCGGATAGAACATGACATCAAGCGTTCACTTGCACGTGTTGCCTCCTTGCAATCAAGGATTGGGGGTTCTTTAGCTTCACATGATCAACAAGCTAGTCTCTATGCCTCAGCATCACATTCAACCATGCTGGCCAATATCTCAATTGGCCATCCCCCTGTCCCACAACTTCTAGTTATGGACACTGGCAGTCCATTATTGTGGATTATGTGTGTCCCTTGCTCGAATTGTGCCCAATATCCCGGTCAAATTTTTAATCCTTCACTGTCTTCTACCTATTCCCCACTATGCAACTCAGCCCCTTGTCATTATAACAGCTCAAATCAATTTCAATTCAATATCACTTATGCAGACAGGACCTTCACATCAGGAACACTTGCCCTTGAACAGCTAGTATTTGAGACACCTAATGAAGGGATTGAAGTATTCAAAGTAGTGTTTGGGTGTGGCCACAACTTTTGGTCAAACAGAGAGCCAGGATATAATGGAATACTAGGACTGAACAATTATAATCTGGCTCTGGCTTCTCAAACTGGCAAAAAATTCTCTTACTGCATAGACAGTATCACTGGCAGTAATTTTGATCACAGCCACTTGATATTTGGTGAAGGAGCCTATCTTGAAGGCTACTCAACACCTTTTGAAGTGTTCGATGACATGTATTATATCACCATGGAAGGCATAAGTGTGGGAGAAAAGAGCATTAACGTAGCCCCAAAAACTTTTGAGAGAAAACCAGATGGCACAGGTGGAGTCATCATAGACTCGGGTTCTACATTTTCCTTCCTAGTTTATGAAGGGTACAAAGTACTACTCAGAGAAATTAGAAGTCTCTTAGATGGGTCCTTTGGAGGAGTTCGCTATGCAGGAGAGCCATGGCTATTGTGCTATTTGGGGACTGTGAGCAGAGATTTGGTTGGATTTCCAGTGGTCACATTCCATTTTGCTGAAGGTGCAGATTTGGTCTTGGACACAGAAAGCCTCTTTATACAGAGGAAGAATGACACCTTTTGCATGGCTGTGGCTCCTATCAACGTCGTTGATCTCAGGTCTAAGCCTTCTATTATAGGCTTATTAGCTCAGCAGAGTTACAATATCGGATATGACCTCAATGATAAGGATATTTACTTCCAAAGAATTGATTGTGAACTTCTTAGTGGCTGATGGGTAAGTTCCTGGCTCTTTAGAAGTACCCAAAAAAAAATATATATATATATATATCTACAGTGCGCTGGTGTTCTTTACTTGTGGATGAATCTGCAGGTTTGATCATATGATCTAAGTGCTGGCCAAAAAAAAAAAAATCATATGATCTATGTGACAGATTGTACTTAAAAGCATTGCTGCATATTACAATGAACCTCAAAAATGCGATTGGTTGACTTTTACTTCTTTCATGAAAAGGGGCATCATTTCAGTACATGAAACTAGACCAACGAGCCTCAGTCACATTAACAGTCATTTTCAGGAAGAATATAATAGAAAATGAGGGATGCAGTTCTGTAAATGGACAGGATTGATTGCGATAGAAGAAAAGTAATTGAAATATTTCCGGTGTAAACCCCAAGGGAAGTTATAATTATAAATGATTCTAAAATTCCTGAATCTAAAGAGAATGAAACAAAAGATAGGAATTGAAATACATTTTCATGAGATGTGAATCTTTCATAAAAATCTCCATTAACTTCACATCAATTCACGTCCTTCTAAGAGTTACTTCTCAGAATTTTTAGCCTACTAGAGGGTCACTTTCTCAGTTACAGTTGGAGCTGCTTTTCAGAGAGAATCTTCTCCGCAAATGCAACTATCCTTGCCTCCACACCTATGGGGCAGCTGAAATCGCACTAAGGAACCAGTTGAGCTCAAAAACCTTCACATTTTTTCCCACATCAAATGGATCCTGTAAAGCAACAAAGACTTCAAACTATGTAAAATCACTCCAATAAAATCCAAGTTCATCATAATTTAACCCAATTCTAGGCATAAAAGTTGATATTTTACATGTAAAAAATAGGCACATTACGTAGCAAGTGCATTGAGGTAGACAAAGGAAGGGGAAAAAGTTAAATATCATTACTAATTTGCACAAAAAAAAAAAATAATAAAATAAAAATGCGACTTGGAGGGTAAGACAAGGAAGCTTCCAAACAAGAGGAGTGGCTTAGTGTGGTGAAACTGAAAACAAGGAGAGGGTGTGGTGAAGGGGAGAAGGGTCTCTATTTTTTTTTTAATCATCATTTTTCCTCTACTTTCCAACTATGACCATTCATCATATCTATGACTAAAACAAATTCATTTAATGCAATAATATCAATGGTCATGATTGGAAAGTGGAGAGAAAATGATGATAAAAAAAAGAAAAAATTACATTCAGGTCCTACAAAAGGAAGTTTATCACCGAGAAGTCCTATAATACTCTCAAGTTTCAAATCCTGAGCATTGACAATTAGGCAATGGCCATTTATAACTTGTAAAAGATTTGCGATTATGATCTTTTTTTGTAAATGGCTATTGTCCAGTTGTCAATGCCCTTAGTCAAGTTGTCAATATGCAAGATTTAGGATTTAAAATTATTCTGTGAAATTTATGAGACCTCTCGATAATAAGCTTCCTTTTATAGGACCTGAATGTAATCTTTTTTAAAGAATATGAAGAGACCCTCTCTCGTGGTGAAGAGAGAAGGTGGCATGACGCAGAGTGAAAGAGAGCAAGGAGAAAGAGAAAGAAAGAGAGTGGCATGTCAAGGGGGAAGAAAGAGGAGGGAAAAAGTTTATAGTTTAGTGTACTTTGTAGTTTAAGTTTGCAATAAAATTTTATCTTTCATTCAAATTTCTCTTCTCATTTCTTCAAGTATCTATGGTCTTTTTTGCTCATAGATCTTGTAAAAAATAAAGAAAATTTCAATTAAGGATCATGAATGGGAATTACTAGTGGATTCTAAAATAATTGAAATTTTAGTTCAGTTTAGGAAAATCAAAACAAAAATAATTTCAATGGTAAAAAAATCAAATTACCCTTCACTTGTTGTATAAAATCATATTAGTTGTTAATTTTTTTACTTTACTTATTAATTTATCAATATGAGTTGTAAATTATATCCATTTATCAGACAAGCAATAACATCAATTATTAGATTGCTAACTTTATTTATTAATTTACTAACATCAGTTGTAAATTATAATATCTGATAGTAATTTACAATTAATATTAGTAAATTAAGGAGTAAAATTAGTAATTTAATAACTAATATTATTATTTGTGATTGAATAATTGATGTCATGCCTTATATAATTATTGACATGTAAATTCATATAATTTACAATTCATATTAGTAATTAACAAGTGAAGTAAATAAAATTAACAACTAATGATTTTGTATAACAAGTGAAAGGGTAGTTTGATCTTTTCACTATTAAAATTATTTTTACTTTACTTCCCCTGGATTGCATGAAAGTTTCAAATTTTTTTTTTTTGAGATCCACTAATAATTAAGTCTTATCCATAATCCTTAATTGAAATTCTCCTGAAAAATAGTTTTTTTTTATCAACGACGGGGCAAAAACCCATCTCTTATTTATTACATGAAACTAAATTTGGATCATTTAAACCCCTTACATCTCAAAATAACAACTACTTGAGGTCTCTAGAAAGAGCCTTGATGATCCTGCAATCAAGGTTTTGACTAAGACCAGATTTTGCAATCCAATCAGCACACATGTTATTCTCTTTATGGATATGTCTGATCACAATTTGCCAATCCTCATTAAGTTGAGGGCATGCCGAATCTGCGACTGGCTAAAAAAAAAAAAAAAGTTTATTACTTGATGCAAGTTTGTTGCAGAGTGTGGAAATTTGTGGCTGTAGGAGTTTTGAATTGGATACCAAATTATCAAGTAGCTCTCATGCTCTAGTATTGGAGTGATCCAATTATTTCGTTTTTGTCTGGATCCTCTGGAAAGGAAAAATAAGAAGAAATGAAAAGAGAAGCACAATTTTGCAATCTGAATGCCGATAATATGACTCACAGACCACAACAATAATAAAGGAGTGACCATGAAGGACAATAAAAACCAAAATTTTTGTGCTAGTCAGAGGACAAAGCAAGTTACAAGAAAAAAAGACAGTTTTATTATATCCAGAAGATGTAATTCACCATAATCATTGTTGTAGCTTGCTGAAGCCCTTGGTTTGAAAAGTTACGTTGAAATTGAGCCACACTCCAGCATAAACCATGACCTCATTTTACAAATCTTATGACGAATAAATTTCATGGGACCACTAAAGGCTAGCTCAAGTGGCAAGGGTTGAGCAGGGTCGTTAAAGGTTCAAACCCTCCTAATGCAACCCCCCCCCCCCCCAAAAAAAAAAAACAAAACAAAACAGAACAAAGGAATACTTACAGACTGCTGAGTCCATCTGACAATCTGATAGACACATTTCACAAGTAACTGCAGCTAAGATAGAGCATTGTTTAGGCATGATGATTACATATTGGAACCAGAATGAAAAATTAGAGTTTGTTCTGCAAACCAAAAAAAAAAAAATCCCTGTTTTGAATAGTTTTCACATCAGACTTCTACGTTGAAAAGATTATCTGCATCAGTTACTCAACCATGCTATAAGCTAGTGCACCACCGGGGCTCATTGTGATGGGGTGATAACAATCCTGCCAAAAGCACATTCATTTTCCATCCCCAAGACTCCATGTTTCACCCTTCATTGTCTCTTCTCAGATTTAATTTCCTTCCAAGTTCTTGATCCCCCTCGTTGTGTTTCAAAAGTAAGCTAAATATCCTCACCATACTTATACTTTTTCATACATGAACTACACCTGCAAAACATCCCTACATTTAATCAAACTCCAACCGAGTCTCATTATATAAAAGTAAGTCCCTTGCAACATAGTGAACCAAGTTTTATTATAATTGCACCCACAAAGTAGGCCAATTTCTCGCATCGTGACCAAAGTTTGAATCCTCACTGAAAAATATACCCACATTTAGTGCACAATTGTGTTTCAAACAAAATTATCTTTAATAGAAGGATACATATGAACAATAAACAAAATTTCATATTCTTTCCATATTTATTTTCATTGAATAGGTTGTCTCAACTAAAAAAAAAAAAAAACCTTATTAATCATACCCCTAACTAAAGACATTTGTAGAAAACCCCTATATTGATTGCACCTTCGATAACCCAAAATGTTCTACATTTTTAAAAATGCTTCAAAAAAATTATATTATAATATTAAATGGATTGAGTATGAATTAACTTTAAATGTTTTAAAATTTTTTAAAATATTATACAGTTCTAAATTATTTTTATCTTATGACTTTTATATTATAAAAAGTATTTAATAAAATTTTTATTTGAAATATTAAAAAATTACAAAATAATTTATCAAAGTTTAAATTTGGCCCCCAACTCTTCCACTCTTTAGATGATAAAACCATAAATATATATTAAAACTATAAAACTATTACTTGTTGTTATAAGCCTCCAATGGAAATTAAAAAAGCTTACGGTACAATTGATAAAACATTGTGCTTGTTTTCGGTTTCCTTGGACCCAGTTTTATCGTTTTATTATTAAAAAAAAAATTGCATGTAATTTAAATTTCAAGTACGCATGAGATCAAAATTCTAATTAACTCATCCATTAAAAAATATAAGACATTTATAATTAAATCTCACCCTTCAATAACATTATCTTTTCATATTTTACCCTTATTTAATAAAATATGTTTCATTTTAAAATAAATATAAAATAATTTATTTATTATAGATACTTTTGAAAAAATACATAATTGTACATTGAAATACTCAATGCTTTACGTATTTAAAACGGGGGAATAAGTATTTCTTATTAAGTACTCTTAATTCAGACACATCAAATTAAAATACAATAAAATTAGAAATGTGGCTCATGTCTTCTACACATCACAAAAGCACAAAATCTTCAAACTTCATAGCAGCTCCTCTTTAAAACCATCCCAAATTACTTCTGCAGCACAAGAGGTGCCTGCTCCAAAATCCTTCTGCATAATTCCCATCCAACATCACAGAATACAAGCCCTCCTTATAATCTCAAGATTCAACATGCTCTCATTGACCAAGCGTTACCAAAATTTGAGGCCCAAACAGCCCTTGCCGCAAAAGCAAAGTGCGTTAAACAAGACACCTCTGTTCATATTCAACAACACAACTTGGTCTCTCTTCATGAGGGAATATTGAACCTATTAAGATCATGTTCATATCTGAGAACACACGATTCTATTTCTCTTGCATAATGAAGGAAGCGTTTCATAAGCCAAAATCATAAAGGGAAGGACCAACTTGCTATAAATATTGTCAATAAGACTGAAGTTCTTCACTCTACAAAGTAAGAAATAAACTTAAAAAAATGAGACGAATATTGAGAAGCTTGGTAAAGTTAATAATTAGGAATAAAATAACCTTAGAAAACTCATGCTTTCAAAGAAGAAACATAGGATAAATTACAAAGCTCCAGATTTGAACAGAATTTTTCAAATAAAATGACATGGACTTCTCGAGGGAATCAATAAGGCAGGGGCTGACTCTTTATTTAAGAACCTGAAAGTAAACGTATCATTTTCCAAGTCCTATCCAGAATGCTATCTCCAAACAATGATTGCAATACCAGCGTTTCTGAAAACTTCTCTTGGTCAATGATCAAGCAGGAAACTCCCATCCTTAAGACCTCTCGCTGGCTAGGATCATCATCTCCAAGACTCCCAGGCTTTTCTCATTTTTAGCAAAGGCTCCAGTAGCAAGCCAGGCGTTACCTCCTCAAGAAATTTCCTCCTAAAAAAAGACAGCAGACGTAGTGAGCCAATTACAAACGTGGAAAGTCTAATTCTCATTTTATTGAATCAATAGAAGCCATTTCTTCTTGGGTAAAAATCATTCTCTAATTCATTTATGCTGAACCTTTATAGAAGACCATCTTATAATGACCTAAGTTAATGCCAAGTACGTTATTAAGGGAAGTTCTTCGGCTTGTTCTTTAAAATTTTCATATAGCAGCAGATTAAGAACATAGCAAAAACAAAATCGTGAAAGAAACATGACTAAGGAAAATCCACCAACAGAACACAAATTTGAATTAAAGATCATGGTTAAATACTTATAACCAGAAAATAGAAACACCTAAACAAAAAGTTTCTCACATTTTAACAAACACCCATGAGGCAAGGATATAATAAAACATATCGAGCACACAAATCATAAAACATACTATATCTCACAATCATAGGATCTCTCTCTTTTAACTCATCTGCTCTTCACTTCTAGAGGAAAACTTACATGGCTAACGAACATATTAAGTCAATGATTAATTATTGAACAAAATTTATCGTACTAAGTCACAAAAAAAAAATATTGTCTGCAGGTCCCTTCACTTCACTTCTTTACCCGCAGATCCCCAATTATTTGTCTCTCGCCAATTTATCATACTAAGTCACGACAGAAAATTCATCTTACAAAGTTACTTATAGATTTCAGAAATGCAAGTACCCCATGCGTAGCATAAGTAGCATATATACAATACCTATTATAACAAGATTAATGATAGAAGTCCATTATTAGTATATAAAAGACGGAAGAAGGATTTAACTCAAAATACAGCAATGAAATTAGTTGATAAGAGAGTTATTCATGCTGAATAACTACTTCTTATGTGCTGTCAGTATTTTAATATTGCAGTTTATGTATCTTATCTTAAGAATGCTGAGTTGTCAAGTTTTAGGATGTCAGTTTGTGTGTGCTGTCAAGTTACGGTTGTAACTGCCACTTCATGGTGTTATCTAATTGTAAGTTAATTGAGGAATGGATATGGATGATTTCTGACTCTTTATTTGGAGATTCTCCCTCTTGGCTTCATCTAATTTGAACGAGATCCTTGTCCAGATTTAGATAAAGATTAACTTCCCTATTTTGTTATTAAGACTTGACAATTAACAAGTATCTTTTAACTGATGGAGACGAGAAATTCTTAGGTAGACCGGATGCGCCATGTCATTTGTAATTATCCAATTAAAATACTCCAAGTAATTTAAATAAAATCTCACGTGACATTTTTTTTTAATTGATTTTATTTTTATAATAGAATACACATTTGATTTCTTACCTTTTCTCTCTCTAGTATCATTAATATCATAATCAATTTATATTTAATGTCATCTAAATATCATGTTATTATTGGAGAGACCACAAATGATGTGGTACACCCGGTCTACCTAAATACTTCTCTAGAGACAGCCATAAGTGGCATACATACAATACCTATAGTTCCAAGCTTGTTCACTTCTAGGTGCATATAAGAGCACAAGTGCCGAAAGGTAAAGTTCATCCATAAACATTGGGAATTGATTCTTCTTGGCAAGCACATACTTTCTGTAACAAGTGTAGGAAAAAATTGAGAGGTTTGCCACAAAAGTGAAACTGATGACATCTCATATTATTTTACCTTAGTTCTGATCTCAATGTACAATTAAGTTCTAAAATCTATGAAAGGAAAAAAAGTGAAAAGATAACTCAACTGGAAGTTCACATGATAAGATTACCACAAGGGATTTCAAAAAAGCAACAGAAAACAATTCATGTTCTCTTCAAACTTATGGTGTTGACTTACAAATATCAATAAGAAACATGTAACTAAAGCAAACAAATGATTAGAAGAGAACCTGCAATTTCAAGCAGTTATAAAGTCACAGGCTCACAGCTCAGCAGCAGAAGAGACCTGCTGCGTCTAGTAAGTATACTTTCAATATAGTCACAGGATAAAAAGGCATATGAAGAATTGCCAACTTTGTCGGATTGGCTGCTAGATGCCTCGTATGGTTTAAATGCAGACATAAATGCATGTTTAGCAGATCATATAATTGTAGAAGAATTTGGGTTGAAATTCCCAGTTTATGATCCCTTTCCCAAAAATACAAGTTCTCTTTGTTGGAAGTATTAATAAGTGATTCCACCGAGCCTGCTATCCTTTCTGTTGATGGATGCAAAACTTCTTCAGATGAATCATAGGAAATGCCTAATTCATCATTAAGCAAGGAGAATTGGTACGGATGAATATAGCCCAGTTCATCACTAGATCCAGAAGCCAAAGATAAAACTCATTGAAGAGAGGCAACAAATCCTAACAGCATGTTATTTAAGTCAAAGTTGTATCTTCAGATATCATTCTATCATCCAGAGACTTTGTATGGCTAGAGTTCAGTATGTCTAAAATGGTTCCCATTAACCAGTCATGAGGCAAATGTAAAGATAGAACAGAAGACAGATGACTAGGCAACAAAGAGACAGTTAGAAGACACATAAACATTGAGCACAAGCATGTCCACAAATTTGTGCAAAAGGTGACACCAATAAGATTTAAAAATAAAAAGGAATGAACAACAAAAAAAGTGCCTAATGGTGATACCAAGAAGATTTAAAAATGAAAACGATAAAAGCCAAAATAAAAAATGTTATTTGGAAAAATTGAGGCATCATTTTGGCTTTTTAATAATTTTGAATAAGACCAACCATGATAAGCCAACATAGCAGCTTAACCCTTCCTCAACACAACTTCCATAAGTTTAGAGACAGTTCAAGGTCCTCATGGATAAATATACTTTTCCCCCAAAATATCCAGAAGAAAAAGGCAAAAAGAAAAAACCATTTAGAAATGAGTCAAATAATTAAATGTAAGTCATTCCAACGATCTGCAGGTGCAACAACAAAGCATGAATAGCAAGATAAATAAAGCGCAGAATAATTGCCAGCATTTAATTCTAGACAAAACAAACAAGCAGAAAGAAATAGTTTCCCTTTCCTTGTTTCATTTAAACCATAAAGAAGGAATCTTTCAGTTATATAACTATAATAGATAAGAAAAGAATTGAGAATGAGTTAGGATTTAGATAGGATCTAATATTTAATTATATTATTATTATATAAGTAGGATTTGGATAGACTATGTTAAATAAGTGGCAGCAGAGTACCTAATTCCTGACTTCAATTTCCAACCAGAATTGCATATTCATATTTGCGCTCTCCCCCCCCCCCCTCCTTTTCTCTTTCTTTCCAATCTAAATTCTATAACACCTTCCGACTTACTGATTTAGTATTAATGTAGTCATGTCCCATGAAATATCAAAAAATATCTCAAATTTCTAAACCAACTACTAAGTCAACCATCATCTCAATCACATTAGGCAAGTGTTATCGTTAAGCTTACGTTAAGTGGGTCATTTTCAAGTATGTTTTCCAACTGGTGCAAGGGATTCAAGCCTTTTTCTTCAGAACATGATTCTTCACTCGTGTTTGCTGTCCTAGTTGCCAAAGACAGCAACTTTAAACGCCAAAAAAAAAAAAGGGAACCAATTACCAGATCAATTTCATAAATTCAGACATGAAAACGTAAGTCAATGAATATAGCATCTCTTCTCAAGTAAGATAAAAGAGAAAATACCAAACTATCTATAGCCATAAATGCTCACTAACCTTAACATCAATCAAAATGTCCAGGACAGGGCTCTATGAGTATGCTTTAAAGTCCTCTCCCATCTTGACAACACTTCCTAGCTGATAAGTCGACACTTATCCCTCTTTTCTGTGATCCTTGACAGTCTAAGTTAAATACATATACCTAGAAACAGAAATCAATGTAATGTGAGATGTCAAAAGCTTTCAGGAGACAACCGACCCATCCATGAAGGAACTTAGTGCCTCATCTCCCACTTTTGCTATTTTATCTAGCAAAAACTTGGCAGTACCTTTGTCATCAACATTATCCTTTCAGAAAGAAAAAATATTGTGATTAAATATGACAAAGTAAAATAAATAAAGAAGACTTATTATCGAGGAATGTAACCATTCTGTATTTACATCTTTCTACTACCAAATGCAATATAGAAGTTTGACCCATTATTCTTTATTTATTTTCTGCAGGACGGAAGGACAAAAGGCATTCCTTTAAAAGTCTCATCTTTATCCTCTTGATCTAAGGATCGGACCTGAAAATTTTATTGATTAATATTGATTTAAATGACCTCAACTAATAAAAAATACAACTTCAGATATATTTTGTATGATACCTCATGAAAAGGAACTACTTTTAAATTGTGTTTAGGATTTATTAAGCCATAAGCCTACCGTGGTGGAAATTGAGAAGACAATAACTTGCAGGTAAAGATGAGTATTAGAATATTGGGTTTTCTTTATCATAGCACTTGCTGCTAAAAAAGTATTGCTGTCAATAACCAACTTTTCAAAATAAAGAGCTGATGTAATGCAAAGGCAAGAGCTCAAACAGGAAACAACATGGAATCCATGCCATGATTCCTAAAAGTTTCAATAAAGTAAAATGATACTGCATCAAATCAAATTGTATATGACTATCGTGACATAACAAACACAGCCTCAAACTTTGCAACCACATGTAAGAAAACTAACGTTGAAGATAAATGAAATCATTACCATTATCAATTGGAGACTTGTATGGGCTTCTTCCTAAGCTTGCCATTACCAACATGGCACTTGCATTTGCCAACCTTGAATTTCCTCTTAGATTTCTTCCCAACTCCACCAGCAGGCTTAAGGGCAGCCATGCTTTGATTGCCACCAGCCATTCCAGATCTGGAGAATTTATTAGAAAATCCAGATATCAGAATGCGCCACCAGGAAAATAAAAAGTGACACACATTGAACCACCAACTTGAGCTTAAAAGATGCAACAGGAAAGGAAGCCTGGATTTTCCTTTTGCGTTCATGAAATAATCGAACAGATCAAATACAATAGTGACACACAGCCAGTGATGCCAGCCTGTGATCAAAACAAGGGTTGAGGCTTAAAGAAAACTTGGGCTAGGAGTTAAAAGAGATAGAAAGAAGACCTGGTGCGGGTAGAATTGGAATAGGGTGAGCAGCTTTGATCCCTTCAGCTTCTGCAGCTGTGACAGTGACCTACAGGGGACGGAAATATCTCCTCCTGTATGACAGGGAGTGCAACAAGCTTGGAGGCATCAATTTCACCAATGATGATTCAAGAGGTGTGGGAAAAAATGATTTTCATCTTACGAGGGACATATAACCCAGCAAATGAACAGAAATAAATCGTAGCCAAGGACTTAAATTAGATGGGAGAGGATACAATGCAAGGAAGAAGTCCTGAGGGGCAAGAAAAAAATGGCAGGCAGACAAAGGAAAATGGGGGGCAAAATTTGAACCAGCACTTGAAATATGGCCCAAGAAATCTACAGTCCCATGGCATGGGGAGAAGGGAACAGGCACCCGGATGAAAGCAATCCAAAAAGCACGCCACCATCAGGGATCAAATCGGAGGGAATTTATGGTAATTCACTGTGCAAGCCATGTACAAGATGTTCTGACAGGGAAGGAAGCAGGAGGACATTTTGGGGCCAGAAAAATATTGTTCATCAGCACTATTCATCCACTGTAGCTGGTCTACAATGGATAGAAATTGAACTTTTAGATATAAGATTGATGATGATTATTATAAAAATAGGTACATCAAAGACAAAGACAGGCATGACACCTCAAGGAGGTAATATTGGTTAATAAATCTGCCATCTGATTTATCATTGACTATATTCTGACTGAACTGTCAATGTTTCACATTCGGAATAGGAGGATTAGGCATCATTTTTGTGCCCTGTTAATATTTGTTAGTCTACAAGTGTTTAATAGTCTAATCCAAGTTAGATGCCCCTACCTATATCGTGCTGAGCAGTAGATACAGCAGAGCCTCCCCAGGATATTCAAATGAAAGAATGGTGAAATATAGCACCAAAACCTGCAGACATAACATAAACAGTCACAAGTAGGTTTAGCAATGTATCTCATCTCTAATACATTTTAAAATTGTAAAGAACATAGGCCTGTATGGTGCGCCACAGTTGTCTAACAAATAAGTGATATTGGTCTGCTAGGTAACAACTTAAAGCTTCACATTAATTTGACTAGATGTATAGCACAAGTAAGCATAAGGTAAATGATTACCTGCAGGTTTCAACCGCATGAATTCTTTGTTTACAGACCATTGTGGGGATTCCTCGCATCAAAGGAAAATTTACTTCCAACTTCCCCCTTTAATTTAGCTTGTAGACCCTGTCAAGTCAGAAAGCAATTCTTTCGCTAATTGACTAGCTTCCTGCAGCTCCCCATTGGAACAGAGTGCAGCAATCCGAGAATAGTAGAAATCAAAGTCATGCAACTGAGATCTTGTCATACGACTAACTTCAGTTGTAAATGCATTGCTCCCATTTACAGTATCACAAGATCCAACATCCAAATCAATTTTGTGAGACGATGGTACAGACCCTTTAAGATCTGAACCAAAACCCTTCCCTTCATAAACTTTCAGCTGTTTATGGGATAATTGATTAGATGTTGACAACCTCTTAGCAGGAAAAAGTATAGATGCAATTTCATTAAGAACTCTAACAGCTTCTTGAATTCTTCCTTGTTCACACAAGAAAACAAGACAATCCCTTATAGACTCCGTCTCAACCTTGCTTTCTATAATGTTAATCAGCTCAGCTATAGGTTTGATCTGGAACATTTCTCTCAAGATACTCCTGGCTTCTTCCATCCTCCCCTTGGCACACAGACCTCTTATCAAATACAAGAAGCCCAAAAAATCAGGTAATATATCCTTGCTCTTGAATTTATCAAAGAATGCAAGGGCCCCTTCAAGGTCACCCTTCTGGCAATAGCAATTTATTACAGCACTAACAGTAAAATAGTTGGGCTGAATAAGTTTTGTCTCCATATCATCTAAAATATTCAAGGCTTCCTCTAGTCGACCAACCTTAGAAATACCATCAAGCAATGAATTGTAAACTTGTAATTTTGGTTGAAATCCCTTCAGGGCCATTTTCCTGAAAACATAATTGGCATCTAGCAAATATCCTTCTCTACATAGAGCATAAATTAATGTAGCATAAGTTATTTCAGAGGGTGTCAAACCAATTTGCTCTAATGAATCAAATAGACGAAATGCTTCAAGAAGACGTCCATCAATGCACAACCCATTAATAATTGAATTATATGAGACTATGTTCAAAGTAATCCCCTTTTTTTCAGCAAAGATACAAAGATCCAACGCTTTACTTACAAATCCTCCTTTGCATAACCCATCAATCACAGTAGTAAAATCAATAACATCCATGGTTGGTAAATAATCTTGACCCTCCATGATCAGCCTATATGCATCTAAAGCTCTACCCTCCTTTAGAAAAAGCTTTGGTAAGGAAACAGGAAAAGAGGCAGCTGAAGAGTTATCTATTGTTTTTGCGAGAAACCGAAAGGCACAATCAACATCCCTCAGACAAAGATACTGTGCAACAATCTTATGTACCCTTGGTTCACTTAGGCCATATAGTTTTATAAAACTATTCAAGAGAGGCAAACTTTCCTCTGATTTTCCATCACTAATAAGCCTTCTCAATATTGAAAAAAAAGTCTTGCTTCTGATGGAAGAGCCTTTCATCCTCATCATCATGCAAAATTGATATGCATCCTCAATCAACCCTCTTTTGCATAATAAGAAGATAGAATCATTACATATGGTATTATGCATGTCTGGCCCTAAAGCTTCCATTCTGTGAACAAGTTCTAAAGCCTCTTTAGCACCTTTTTCTTTAAAAATAGCTTGCATTAACATCCTATATATACCTGCATCCAACACCAGTCCTTTATCATTAAGCTCAATAAATGTCTCAGTTGCCATTTCCACAATACCCTCCTTGCAGAGGCCACTGATAATACTATTGTAGCATGCATGTGAAGAAATTGAAGTCTTTCTGAATTCATCAAATATCTCTAGTGCCTCATCAATTCTACCCACCTTGCAATAGCAATCAATCATTGTACAAAAAGTAACAGAATTTGCAACCAAACCCATTTCTGGCATCCACTTATAAACTGCGTAAGCATCTTCAAATGCCCCCAACACAAATAGTGCTTTTATAAGCACATTACACATCACAACGTCCATAGAGATTTGAGCTTCTTCTAGTCGCCTCTTCGTTTGCAAAATCCCTGGGATGTTCTCTTCCTCAGCATACCCATGAAGCAGGGTACTATATGTAATGATGTCTGCAGGTACAATTTTTGAGAACTCATCAGCTTCGGACATCCTCCCAAACTTGCATAATCCATTGATTACACAATTATACGTAACGATACTAGCTCTAATCTCCCTCTTCTCCATTTCATCCAACAGACAGAATACATGATCGAAATCCCCTCTCTCGCTGAACCCATTAATTAAAGTTGCAAACATAAACTCATCTGCGTCAATTCCCAAAGCATTGACGTTCTTGAAAACAGTCAAGGCTTCCTCTAATTTTCCCTTCACACAATACGCCGTCATAATTGCGGTATATGTGACCTTATCGGGTTCTCGTCCATCTTTTAACATCTTCGCCAAGAAGCTTGTCGCCTTTTTTACATCTCCTAACTTACCAAGAGCACTTACAAGCGCGGTGTAAGTCACAACGTTGGGTTGCAAAACTCCAGAACTTATGGTGTTCTCAAAAAATCCAAGAGCAAGTTCCGGTTTCCCAATCTTACAAAACCCCGAAATCACTGAACTGCAAATAAAATTATCAAACGGGTACTTGACTTCGGCATCGGCCATCAATTCCAGAACATCAATTACCCTTCCCATGTTACCCTGAGAGCTCAATCTATGAATTATTAAGCCAAAAGTGAAAGAAGAAGGCAAGACATTACGGTTCCTCAAACAATCCTCTAATATAAAAAATGCTCTATCAGGATCTTCTCGTGTGGTAGAAATAATGCCTTGAATAAGAGCGTCCCACATTCGAGTCGACCCTACAATGCGGTTCTTCATTAGCTGCTCTGCTTCATCGAATTTGTGAGATTTAAGAAGAGCCCAAGTAAAGATCGATTGAGTTCGATAGTTGCCTTCAATTCCATTCGAGTTTATTTGGGAAATGAAATGCGCGATTAAGTCGAACTTCTGGAGTCGGAGAAGAAAGAGCAAGAATCGGTTGATTGATTTGAGAGTGGGCGAGAAGCCGCTTTTTAGCAATGCCTGCAAAGAAGAAGTACAAGAGAAGAAAGAGCAACAGCGTCTTCTGTCGAGGAACATGGGATTGCTTGTGAGTTTCAGCACCCCCAAAGGACCAAAAAAACACAACTTTTATCATCCCCACCACCTTCCCACACTCGCGCAACATTTTTGCAGGCTGGGACCAAAAAACCGGGCTGAAAAAAACCAGCCCAACCTATACATATGCGGGCTGGCCAGTTTCCGTTTAATGTTTCTTGGACTTTAATTTAACGATCATCCTCCGGGGCAAGCATCTGGATCTGGTTTAGAGGCGGTATAATTTGAATCTTTTAAAGCTGAACTTACGAGGTTAAAAAATTTCTCTACTCTAAGTTTATTCGAACCATTCAAAAAAAATTGGATCAAGCCTGAATCAAAATGAGCTTGGCCTGAGTAGAACCGGCGATCCGAATTGGTCGAACTTATTTAAATTCAACTCAATTCAAGTTGGGCTTATTCAAATTGAATTTAAAATATCATATTCCTTCTAAAATGTTCATATAGTCAAGTCCAATCCCAACACTTTCGAATTTATTCGGGTTTGCCCAAATACCCTAAACTTTTAAAAAATATTTTTTATTTTTTTAAATTAATTTTAATTTTTAAATAATTTTCTCAAGCATAAAATATTATTTTAAATTTAAAATAATAAAATAAAAAATAATAACTTATTAACTTTGTGCTTAAATATTTCTATTACTATTTTATTATATTATATGTAATTTATTCATAAATGTTTCATTTATTTATAAATTAATGTCTTAACTATTTAAATATTACTCTTATCATAGTCATATATAAATATTTTATATATTTTAATTAAATTTTATTTTTTAATTATGATCAAGTTGATCTCAATTTAACTATAGTTAGACTATTAATTTAAAATTATTATCCCAACTAATTTAAAATTTTTAATAACTTTTAGATAAACTGTACTTTTTATTTTTAAGAACATAAAAAATAATCATCATTATATTATATAAAACAAAATTATTTTTACTTTATTTTTGAATTTTTTTTAAACTTTTATATTATTTAACCTTTATATAAGGAATTTTTACTCTATTTTATTCTTAATTTTTAACCAAATCTAATGTAGAGGATAAATAAATAATTTTTCAAGAATATTCTATTTATTATGTTATTTAGTAATATAGAGTCAGAAATTCGTACATGCTCGAATTTTATTTTTACTTAAAAATTATTTATATTATTTTATAAAAATATAAAATATATTTTTTGGATATGCAAATGATATATAGGAGTCAAAAAATTTAAAAAAAATTAGGTCTTAAAAATATGAAAATTAATATTAAAATATATTTTAAATATTATTTTAAGATATTTTGCTTATTAAAAATAATAAAAATATGAAAATATAAATATTTTTTATTTTTTAAAAAAATAACTATAGTAATGTACTTAAATATATAGTATGTTAATATAAAATGATATAAAACTTAAAAAATTAATTAATATTTATTATATTTTATATATTTTTCAAAAAAATTATTTTTTTATTCAAGCATTCGGGCCAAATCCAAACCCAACCAGGCTTAGTTCAAATTTTTTCAGGCCTATTGAAGCTGCCCAAATAAGCCTGAATATTAAAAAAATAATATTTTATTCAGGCTCAGTCGTAAATTTTTTGAGTGAGTTTGGGCTGGCCTATGGGATTTGGCCTAAATTATCGACTTTAGGCCTTAGTGGTTGAATTTATTTTTTATTATTAATAAAATAATATAAACAAAAAATATTAATTTTTTAAATAAAAATTGAAATTAGATAAAAATTAAAAATAAAATAATATTTAATAATTTAAGTATTTGGGCCCACCCAAATAAACCCGAAAGCTCAAGGGATTAGGTTCAGGCTTGACTATATGAACTTTTTTTATATGATAGAATATTTTATGTCTAATTCAAATAAGTCTAACCCGAATTGAACACAACCTAAATAAGCTCGATTTATTCAAATTATCAGCTTTAATTAGGTTTTACATGCAAGTTTAATAAATAAAAGGGAAAATCACGATCAATAACCTATGAAACACCTTATGCACATAAAAGGATAAAAGATTCTAAAATTGTTCTGCATAACCAAGTAATTAAAATGTAATTAAAAGTTAGTGTGAAAAAATAAAGCTACACCTCCTTTATTTAAAAAAAAAAAAATTCTACCATTGTCACTAGTTGCATGGACTAGTCGCCGGAGTTTCAGCGTGCAGCAAAAATGACAAATTTTTTTTAAAGGTGGTCAAAACAAATTTAAATTTACAACTTTTGACCACTTAAAAAATTGTTAGTTACTAAACTAGCAATGCTTCTAAATTATATAATGTAAATTTTTATATATATTATAAAAGGGTTCATTTTTCTAATGTTGGAAGGTTAGCCTGTCGAATTGAGCTTATTTTCCCGACTTTAATTAGACTTACATTTCTGGGTTACCTTTTATTTAATAATTTCATTCACAAAATTATTTTTTACTATTTCCATTTTAATAAGCAGAACAAATGAATCCTTGCAAATATAGAAATTTGAAACAGTATGATTCGTTTTTTCTTTCGCCAGCAATACAATTTTTCTGCATGTAGACAAGAATATAAGCATTTCTAAACTTTAAAAACGCATTGTGCAAATACAATTTATAATGTTTAATTTTTTTTCCCATAGCTTGAGAAATATGCAATAATAATGGTATGATATAGGCTTATTTTACTCTCTAATTCTTTTTCCCTGGCGAGGCGACTAGGAAGATTACAGATTTGAAGAGAAATGAATTTAAGTTATTTTTCAATAGAATTGCTAAAGAGCTAAGGTACATGGGCATTTAATTCAACTAATTAAAAAAGTTGAATTAGCTTATCTTGCCAAGGAAAATAAAAATATTATTCAAAGAACAACACACGTCCGAGAACAAAAACAAACCTCAAAGACTAGGGAAAGAAAAAACACTAAAGAAAAAGGCATAGGCAAGAGAAAGCATAAAACTAGAAGTAAAATTCTAAATGCATCATGATCCTGCTCCAAGAAAGAATGAAAGGGAATGGAGGCTTGGTAGCCCAGTCCAAAGAACACATCCCTATAACTGCTTGAAAAATCCATACTACAACCCAGTAGAAACTTCTTAAAATCCACTAAAAATCACAACAGTTTAGTGATTGCTAAAGATGTACAAAGAGATCCACAATGGTTGAGTAAAGGCAAGCAACTCCACTTAAAACAGCATCCACAAGAGGGAAGGAAACATGCATCATCAGAAAGGTAACCATAATAAACCATACCAAAAGAAGAAGCCTACTCCGCCAAAATTTTGCCAAAAAAACAGAGACAACAAATCAAGCACCTAGTAGAACCCAACTCTTATCCTCAACAACCATTCAAGCAATGCCTTTAAAGAAGGAAGAGAGTCAACCAATCCAAACAAACTCTCAACAAGTAAATTCAGTGGCAAGCACAGACAAACACCCAAGAACAAGCAATATGTTACCTAAATCACCCCATGTTTCCACCATTCCTATCTCAAAGCCAAAAGGTGAAACCAAACCAGAAGCATCTAAATATGCCAAAAAGTTATACCAAATTAGGGCATTCAAATTAAGGGTGTAATTAGGTATAGAAAGATGGCACTAAATCTAGTCGAGAGGATTTTGAACAAGAATAGTCAGCTCTGACCATTTCTAAAGCTTCTCCCTTCACTTTGCACATCTTAAATTTGAGATCTAAATCATAGGCTCTAATAAAAAATTTAGGGAGCCAGAATGCACCAAGAACAACATAATCAATTCTTCCTTTGGTTCTCAAGTTGCGATGCAAATCCAAGCCTCTCCACCCTAAAATCTCTCATCAACATAACAAGATTAGGAGGTATCCATATCAAATCATTTGCCCAATTGATGAAATTAAAAAATGAGATTCATAAGTAAAATGCCTTCATTGAACACTAAGAAATTAGGCTCATCATTTTATTAATCTACTCTGCTACAATCGTCTACCTCACCACTATCAAGTCATCGTTTCATCTCCTAAGAGTCATTGCAGATCTAGGTCTAAAATCATCAAATGTCACTGTAGAGTCACTTACAATCTTCATCGCCTTTGCTATAGGAGACATAGCCCCAAACCTCACCCCCAATTCCTTTACACATTGACCCCCTTTCTCCTTCAACATAAGCACCCAACAACACAAACCTCCAAGGCAAACACCAAAGAGGAGAGCCTTAAGGCTTACCATCACCAAGGGCAAGGAAACTCTCCCTAATGGAGAGACTCTAGTGATGCAAAGGAAAAACCTAAAGGTTTCAAAGGGTGGCATTTGTTCCTAGAATGTGAAGTTAATATTCAAGTTTTTCAAGATACAAAGATTTGGAATTAAAAAAAACAATGGCTAAAATAATATTATGTTAACGATGTAAATTGCTACTTAAAGTAATTGATGATTTGAATCTCAACTCTTACATATGTAATAATTTAATTGAGAGATATCTGCTGATTACTCTTAATATTTCAAGAAAAATATTATTCACTATTGATAGAGTTTATTTCTTGCACTTATTTAAAAAAATAGAGAAAAACTATGGAGTGATAAAGAGAAGAGACAAGAATGGAGATTGATGATTTTATCCACGTCAATTCATATTCTCACGTTTATATCATTTCATAACTTTTCTCTTCCATTCATTCTCACCTTGCAATCATTTCATAATTTTATTTTAGTTAATTTTATTTTTTCATTATTCTCTTTCATCTCAATTCATTTCATTCCTTTTCCAGCAATTAGACAAGTAGTAAAGGTGAATTTATTTGAGATGCCAAATGCTTATTGCTAAAAATTTCTAATTGACTGCGTCAAAAGTGTCTCCACAAAATAGCATCAATGTCTTCATTATTAATTTATATATGATGTAAGGAAAATTGATAACCAAACCTACTATTCTATTAATAAACTATAAAAAAAAGTCTCATAATTAAAAACCAATCCTCATTGTCATCAATAAAAAGTAAACAGTGTACAATTATGCAGTGGCGCAGATTTTTTTAAAAAATAATGCAGTGGTCGAGGAAAGAGACAAAGTAGCAATTAAAATCTATAGTCTATGCAAGATTAAAGGAGGGAATCTATTCAAGACGTGACAGTTCTGTATTGTTTACTAATAAAGTCTTGGTCTGCTCTTTCTCTATTGAGGAAGCCGCCAGCCCCCAGGAATACGGCAAAGACTAATTGAAAACGAAAAGAAAGCAAATCCATGGAATGGAATTCAGGAAAAAGGTCTCAGTCTCATGGATGGGCACGGGGCTGGTCTAGTACTTCTACTACAGTGACCTTGCTTGACCCGACTCGGTCAGATTATATTTTCTTTTTTTTTTAACGGACAGTAAAAATTTCCATTCAAAAAAATTATAGAAATTTCAATAACAATTATTTTTCCTTGATTATAATTAAAAAAATTCTCTTGTACCAAAGATGCCCTTGTCGAAAACTCGACGAAGGTGACCAGATGATCAATTCTAGTGGTGGGTCGCTGTAAAACCTATAGGCCGAAAGCTATTTTTTTTAGGCGATTTTTTTAAATGCTTTTTTAAAATAATTTGGTTGTGACTACTGAAAATGTCTAAAATGGAAATGAAATTTCTTAACTTTGCAATTGAAAAGCCTTAAGCTCACTTGGAAAATGGCCTATTCGAGACTTGGAGTAAATTGTTGGTAACTAAAAATATGATTACTAAAAATACCTAATGTGGGTACAAAATTTGCTTAATTTCCTTATTGAAAAGCTCTAACCTCACTTGAAAAATTAACTTATTACAAACATGGATTAAATTGTTGGTAACTAAAAATAAGATCATTAACCTTTTTCTAAGTGATGCTAAATCTTCTCAATAGTAAATCCGATTTGAGAAATTTTGCACTCGTCTTGAGTATTTTCATCAATTGTATTTTCAATTACCAACAATTTAGTCCAAGTCTAAAATAGGTTAATATTTGATATTTATTTGTCAAAATCACAACGCATATTTGTCAATATCTGAACACCTAATTGTAAAATATAAAATAACACTTATAAGGTGAGAACATGATATATGAAACGTTTTACATGTTAATGTCACAAATTCATGTCGTTAAAAACATGAATTTGTACTTGCCAATGTAATTGATCATGTTTGTACGTGAAGTTATTTTCTTCTTTCCTATTCTACATTTTTCTTGTTCCTCCTCCTCCTTCCTTCTCTTATACTTTTGATTTATTTCCTTCCGATGACACTGGCAAGGTGAAGGGGTAGTCCCCTTCAATTGCTTCTAAGTGATGGAAGTTCTCTCTCTCTCTCTCTCTCTCTATCTCTGTATGTCTGGTGTGTGGTGGGGGGGAGCTCAAATTTTTTTTTTTAGATGAGGGATATTTTTGTCATTTGTGGTCAAAGCCAAGTTCTCGCTTTAATCCTTTGGGCCTTAGCTTAGCTAGCATTATATTACTTCAGAATGTCCTGGTTGATATTCTTCCAAATATTTTTCCACGTATCCAACGTTGTTTTAGAAGATAAGCGTAGATTTATAATCATAGAAATTTCTTGTGATTGAATAAATTTCTGCAATTTGGTATATGATCTGCAATATTGAAATATATTGTATTGTTACGGTAACACCCATACATTTTACAACCTGCACTTAAATTTCATGCCAAGAATCTCTCGATTGGAAAAGAGTTGATAGGGAATCTTATGACGTTATGATCACTGGTCAGTTCTCAGCAACCCATTTCATACGGTCCAACTGGAAATTTCGGTGCCCGAAGTGGATATACGAAGACTCGTTGAAGTTGAACCACGCCGCTGAAAACTTCTCATCTCAAAATATCAGTATGCCATTCAATATTAATATATAAATATTAAATTAACTCCATTCAAGTTATCATAACTCATCTTAAGACACTCTGCAGCAAGGTGGTGCCATGTCACACGTAGGGTGTGGGGTCCACACCCCATATATGGGTTTAAACCCTCTCAGGCTTCCCGCAAAACCCAAAAACCCTTCAAAGAAGATGTCACTGGTGCAGACAACGCACCAGGAAAATATGCACATGGAATGGGTCAAAGCTTAAAACGATCAAAAGGCTTATTAGGTAAGCATCATTTTCCATTCACGTATCCATCAAAGTCAACCCAATTTGTTCACTTCTTTATTCTTTTCCAATATATAAACACAGCATCTCTTCTCCTCTCTTTCATTCTGCAACATCACCAGCAAACACGCAGAAATGGGAGGTTGTTTCTCTTGCAGAGCATCCCCTACCTTCAACAGTGTCCGTGTGGTTCATCTCAATGGCTTTGTGGAGTACTTTGAAGGACCCATTTCAGTAAGCCAAGTCACTGGTGGAGGTGGTAATCCCTCAAAGCACTTTGTCTGTACTGCTCTTCAACTTCTTTCTCCTTCCTCAAAGCCATTGAACAAAGACACACTCCTCCAACCTGGTCAAGTCTACTTCATGCTTCCATTCTCAATTCTGCAATCTGACGCTTATTCTCCTGTGGACATGGCTTCTCTTGCAAAGAGGCTCACAGCAAAGGCCAAAATCAAGCCATGTAGAGATAAGTCCCTAAAGGGTAGTACTAGTGATTCATCAATTGGTTGGAGTTCACCTTCCAGGTGTCCTGGTAGGGTTGGTGTTGCAGATCAGATTGGTGTGGGCTATGGAGGAGGACGAGGCCCTTGTAGAGTGAGGCCATGGAAACCTATCTTGGACACTATCAGAGAGAAGTCCTTCAATAGGAGAGAGTCTGATTTACAGGAAAATAACTGATGTTTTCAAGAGCTTGGGTATGAGAGCTTTACAGAGTCGTTTTCATCATGATGATTTTAGGCTAATGTCATGTTAGAACTTAGAATCAAGTGAAGTGAAATTTGTGAGAGCTAGGCTACGTTGGAGTGATATTTTGTGTAACTTGTAGAAATTTATGGGGCAGAATGTCACTAATAGTGTCCTGTTTCTGAGGTCTGTAAATTCTGTTCTACTTGAAACAACTAGTTAGTGAAGTTTTCACATGCGTTTGTGTTTATTTAGAGGATCGCTTCGTCTAAAACAATGAACCCAATTTAGTTATTTTCTTTCTTTTTCTCTGAACATTGGTGGCGGTAGGTACTTTTCCAACAAATAACAGAACTGATATTGGATTATTGGGTAGAATTTAGATGTTCTCTGGTCTAAGGGGTGGCTGTAGAATTCACTTCCCATTAGATAAGGCTTTTGCATTCTTCTTACATTAAAAAATTTTGTGAAAACTTATTTGTTTTTAAAATTTAAAATCCAAACCTTTAGAAGAATTACCTTTAATTAGACCAAATAATGTTTAAATCTAACTCAATTAGATGTCATATAAAAAAATTAATGCACACATTTTCAACCAAAAGTATTAAGAAAATTACATATAAACATAAAAGAGCAAGTGCCGCAAAATCAATTTTACATAATTTCTAGCTCCTAACAAATATTATGTGAAGGTAATATTTATTACAAACAAGAAAAGATACTCCAAATTTTACTCTTCATCAATTTTTTTTTTTTTTGGTTGTCAATTTTGTGAATAAAAAGGAAAGGAAGAGAGAGAGACACCGGGTCAGGATTGAACCCATTCATATATCAAGCTGAAGATATGTAGAATTAGGGAAATTAAACACAAAATACCGATGCTATCATTGAAATAAATTTGCCCTGCATGCATGGAAAGGGTGAAAGTAATATTCAGCTTCACCAGCTTCACAAATATCCAATTCCAGAGCATCAGAACTATTTCTTTTCTCCTCTCTAGTCCTTTTGGAGAAAATTGTTGAGACGAAATTAAGAGGATTTGGATCCCATGCCTTTAGCAACTATTGATATTGGGTGTCTATACCCACGTGGCAAAGTCCATGTTGTCAGTTAAATTGAAAGTTTAGAGAATCTCGTTGCAATCAAAATCATGAATTACTGAATCCAATTTTCTTAGATAGCGTAACTGAATGTAATTGTTCACTCTATTTCTCATCCAAAATTTAGAACTATCTTAAATGGAGGAAGATTTTATACCAACAATAGGCAAGAAATTTGACAGTTTAGGAGAAGAATAAAAATTTTGGACTGACTAAGAAAATTCTGAAGTTTACATGAGAAATGGGGTAGACATTCACTGTGTGATGTTATTTAGGAGATTTTGATGGATTTAGATTTAGTGTTTCTTCATTTTGGTTGTAACAGGATTTTTCAGACCGTTGATTTAATGTGCAACATAAATTTTGTCACGTGAATATAAGCACCGAGTGCCTATAGTTACCACGGGCGTGGGATCCAAATACAAATTAAGAGTATCTTTTCACATTAAAGATTCAAAGGTATAATAAATTACAGAGCTGCGATGGGTGCAGATGGGACCCACTTCTCAATGGGGGAGCATTCCCAGCCACCTTCTTTGCTCTGAAACACAACAAAATGTTTAGGAATCCAATTTTCTCCTCTTGACTCTCTTTCTCTCGCCAGTTTCCTCTGTCTTTCCTCCACAACTTTCTTTGCTTCACTTGCTTTCTCCCATTCTTTGCTCAATATGGCTTCGCTCAGCTCACTCCAAACCAGGGCAGACTCTGTTGGCATCACACTCTGATCCACAAGAGAATTTCACGTCACATTCAAACATAGTGCCAAAAAAAGGAACCGTTTTATTTTATTTGTATGTAATTCCTTTTCGTACATCTAAATTCTAATGTAACTTTGAAATGGAAACAAAAGAGAAAAGAAAAGAAAAGCCTTATGCAGGCCACCCTAGTAGATCTTGGTTCACAAAAGAGAAGACATATAGGTAAAAAGATCGACAGAAATGGAGATGAAGATATGAATATGAAACCTTTGGATCGCGGACAGTTGGACTTTGGAGCCCTGAAATGACTTCATTTGCATCATATATCACTTTAACCTTCCCATTACTTGTGTCCTTTATTGTCACAGTTCTGCATTATGAAAGTGGATACGAAATACAGCATTATCCAATTATTACAATCAAGCATTTCGCAGTCATGACCACTACCACTGGTTTCGCACACAAAAGAGAAAGGCATTAACTTTCAGAATGCAGAGAGATGCTCTGAAGGAAAATACCTGTCCCAATGACCATCCACTTCATAAAGAACTTTTGATGATGATGAATTGAGGATCTTCCCTTTGATCAATCTACGATTTCCCCCAAGCCCTAGATAAGAATTACTTTTGAAGCTTAACTCTGCCGCCAGACCAGTCTCTAGACACCGAATATTGACATTTCCAACCCAATTGATATCAGGGACTGGAAAAATTCTGATTAGGAGGTGAGGACAATTCATTTCATACGTTTCTCCATGATTGAGGAGCTTCAGCTGTCGTTTACCAAGAACTTGAGTCTCCACTGAAGTGCCTGTATATTTGGTTTGCATAAAACACAATGATAGACAGGTCAAATTATTGCTAACATGTGGTAGGTAAGAGGCCAGTAATAGGTGAACAAAGAATAGGCAAGACCGGGCTAGCAATCAACCCGCTTTGTGGACCGAGACCAAGACCGGGCCAACCCAATATAAAAAAAACTTAGTCTGGTTTTGTGCTGAAAAAATATTAAACAAATTTAAAAATAAAATAACAAATAAATTTTATATATAAAATTATGTCCATCGAAAATATCCCTTAAAAAATTGTAATGACTAAAGCATTTCCTATAATGAAACTGACACTGAATACGATAAGATTTGATTTCCTATACTGACCTAGTTATCGTATTCAGGCTTGTTACTGAAGCATATTATAACTAGGTCTATTAGGAGTTGAAGAAGAATATTTATGATTCTAAAAAAATAAAAATAAAACGGTCAAGATACCACAAAACTTTGGACTAGGTTGTTGGCACCATATCATCTCTATGTTCTGCTCCTCATCTGTTGCATGTAGGGCAGACACGGGAGGATGGTGTGAGACCTGCAAACATGGAAGCCGACGATTCATTAATCTTCTGGAGAGCTCAATCAAGAGATTGGCCTAGGGGATTATTAATTATAAAGAAAAGCTCCTCAAGAGGGTCATTCTCATATCAGATTAGACCCTGTAACAAATTTCTGATAAATCAAACAAGATGGAGACATATCCTCGGTTATAACGCTAAATGAATACAAAACGAAGAAATGCCAATAGAAATTTCAAAACTAAGGATACCAAAAAAAAAAAAAAACATATATTTAAGCATTGAAAGGAAAAATGAAAGAGGGAAAAGCAATTACCTGTTCGAGCAGGACGTTGAGATTTCCCCTAGAAGCATGATGGGTCTCTCCAAGAATAGGGTTATAAGGAGCAAGTAACATTGTAGGGCGAGTCGTAGAGATACACCATGCAACCACAGATGTGAACCTGTCCACTGGATTCTGCTCTCTATTGCATTTGCTTAGCAAGTCTGAAGCTGTGCAGTATACAGACTCACCATAGCACTGAAGTTGTGACTTTGGAAAATTAAACAGAGGCGGCAGCTGGACGCAGCAACTATCAGCATCAGTTACAGAAATCGTTGGAAATGTCTTACTTCATTTTATATCACAGAAAAGAATTCTTCGGAAATGCGACAGGCATTAAAACTTTTAATGCCTGTTAAATCGGGTTTAATGTTGCCAAACTAAAATGGGAATACTGAATGAAAAGTGCATATCGCATTAATGAGAGAAGAATTTACAAGTGTTTATATACAGGATTAAACACCCTGTGCAAGGCTAACAGATTTATTTACAACTAATTAACTAATTAACAACAGAAATTAGGTTGAGACTGACGGTTAAGGGAGGAAGAAAACTATCATAATAATACTATAATGATTCAATATTTTTATTGCAATATTTATTTATGATAATGAATTATGTTTTGCTAACAGCCTAGCAACACGTTTATTAATTTTCTCAATAGCTATTCTTTTGGAAAAATAAGGAAATATTTGAAAGGATAAAAAATCTTTTATTTTTTACTCACCTGATCTTAGATCTTATATAAGTCGCTTCTAAGTTTTAACTATCTCACTAAAACTAAAAAAATAATAATTAAATTATTAATATTCTCTGAAAAATAACAAAAATATCAATTTATTCTAATTAAAAGCATCATCCTTAAATATAATGCTAAAATATATAAAACTTCCTTAAACTATAGAACCCTAAGAGGAGTTTTATATATTTTAGTTTAAAAACAATTGATCTCTCATGTGTCATATTTTATTCTATTCACAGAAATTCATGAAAGGATAAAATTAAAAGAAAACAATTAATGATATTTTTATCGAAAGTGACTTATAAAAAAACTATTAACTCTTTCTAAAATTTGAATTATATATAAGACCAGGGAGAATTAAAAAAACTAGTAATACAATATCAATTATATTATTATTAGTATCATTAGTGCATGTCTTTCCAAATTTTTAGACACTTTTTTCTCTTACACTTATACTCAAAATAAAATTTATTTTTCTTTCACTCCATTTTTATTTCATTTGGCATTAACGTGTGAAGACCCGTTAAAGGAAAAGATGAAAGCGAGAAAATAAAGCTCTTTACATAGTACATTTTTGGTTATTTAATTTTATAAAATTTTCAGTTTAATCCCAATAATTATGAAAAGGAAAAATGCTGCATTCTTTTTTTTTTGGGCAGTCGAAACTATCATTGAAAAACCAAACACGCACCAGGTACAGGAACAAGCAAAAAAAGACAACACTAAAATTAAAAAACAAAACAATTGGTGCAATTTTATCATTCTATCATGTATTTTACCCAAAATTTAATGTCAAAATTTGTAGCTCGTGGACCTAGATATTATTCTACTGTTTTTAGACATCACTAATTCACATATTATTATTATTATTTTAAAATGTCTCCATTGAAGAAAAGAATTAAGAGAGAGGAGGCAAGAACTTACTTGGAAGTGAGTGAGATCAGATCCAGGCCGTATACTCTTAAACAAGCTTAATACACGTTGCAACAAATT